AGAAGCTTTTTAGTTTAATGAGGTCCCATTAGTAAATTCTTGCCCTTGTTTCCTGAGCAATTGATGTCCGGTTTAGAAAATCCTTTCCTGCACCTGTATCTTTTAGGTTATTGCCAATGTTTTCTTCTAACAGTTTCAGAGATTTAGGCTTTATCTCGAGGTCTTTGATCCATTTGGAGTTGACTTTTGTGCAAGGTGAAAGATAGCAGTTTAGTTTCATTCTTCTACAGGTGGAGATCCAGTTTTGCCAGCACCATTTGCTGAACATGCTGTCTTTCCTCCAGTGAATATTCTTGGCCCCTTTGTCAAATACCAGGTGGCTGAAATTGCATGTACTCATATTTGGGTCTTCAGTTTTGTTCCATTGATCTATGGGTCTATTTTTGTGCCAGTACCATGTTGTTTTTATGACTATAGCTCTGTAATACAGCTTAAAATCTGGTATAGTAATCCCCCTGGTATTGCTATTAGTGCTCATGGTTGCTTTGGCTCTCCAAGGTCTTTTGTGCCTCCATATGAATCTTAGGGTAGTTTTTGCCAATTCTGTGAAAAATGTCATGGGGATTTTGATTGGCATTGCATTGAATCTATAAATGGCTTTTGGTAGGATGGTCATTTTCACAATATTAATTCTTCTAATCCATGAGCATGAAGGTCCTTCCATCTTCTGATGTCTTCCTCAATCTTTCTTTAAAGATTTAAAATTTTCATTGTAGAGCTCTTTAATGTCTTTGGTCAGGTTTATTCTGAGGAATTTTATTGTTTTTGCAGATATTGCGAAGGGGAGTGTTTCCATGTGCTCTTTCTCTGATTGCTTATTATTGGTATATAGAAAGGCTACAGACTTGTAGGTTAATTTTGTAACCTGCCATTTTACTGAATGTGTTAACAATTTCTGGAGTTTTCTGGTGGAATTTTTGGTATTTCGTAGATACAATATCATGTTATCTGCAAAAAGGGATAATTTGATCTCTTCTTTTCCAATTATTATTCCCTGCTCTTGTCTTATTGCTCTTGCAAGAGTTTTAAGCACTATGTTAAAGAGAAGTGGGGATAGTGGACAGCCTTGTCTGTTTCCTGATTTCAATGGGATTGCTTCCAGTCTTTCTCCATTTAGAATGATGTTGGGTGTGGGTTTGTTATATAT